ATACAGAGTAAAGCTCTCTCTACGCTGTCTCCCATCAAACACTCCCAGGGACAGGGGCAGCATGGGGTTAGATACAGAATAAAGCTCCCGCTACACTGTACCCCTATCAAATACTCCCGGGGCAGGGGCAGCACGGGGTTAGAGATACACAGTAAAGCTCCCTCTGCACCATACACCGCCCCCCTCCCCATCAAACGCTCCCAGGACAGGAACCACATGGGGTTAGGATGAAGTAAAGCTTCCTCTACACTTGCCTCTAACAGTGTGTAGCAGGAGTTTTTCTTCAGAAAAGTTTTTGTCGCCTTCTCTCTCCAGGAATGTGCAGTCGTCACTTGACTCTCAAGATGAGGTAGTTCTTCCATCCTCACAGGTAAATCACGGCCTACAGCGACTAATCCCTCCAGGTCGTCCAGGCAGGGATAGTGATCTCCGTTCTGAAAGGTAGAACAGGCAGCACATTGGTTATCAGGCAGCAAGGGCTCGCAGTGCACCGCCAAACAGTCAGCACCGAGGAGTCTCCACGATGCTGGGGCTATGCCCCCCTCGCCCAAAGTTTAGCCCTAAACCGGCAGGTTGTCTGTCTGGGCCACTGTTTGTGGGATCTTGCTGTGTACAGCGGGGAAAGGCTGATGCTGCCCACAAAACCCTCATCAGCTTGGAAATGCCCCTGACACTGCAAGATCCCACAAGCAGTGTTCTAGGCGATTTACCTGTATTTCTTCAACATCAGCGATCCAGGCCCTCGCTTTTGACAGCGCCTCCTTCAGGGCCACAATGTTGGGCAATTCGACCGGGATATTCTCTGCTTCCTTAATGATCGCCTCCAGCGTGGCAGGAGGATGCTTCTGCCTGAAGGCCAGAGGATGTTTGTAATGAGACAGTGAGATTCTGACCTAACCCTGACTGACTGAACCCATTCACAACCCACTCTGCAGCAACGCCCACTCCCCCTCAGCTTCCAATTACAACACAGTAAAACAGACAGGACGCCGTTCAGTCCTGTACCTGACCCGCAGGCAGCTACCCCTCCCAGCCCCGTACCTGGCCTCCAGACAGCTCCCTCTCCCCACCCCCCACAGCCCTATAGCTGGCCTGCAGGCAGCTCCCTCTCCCCCCCACCACAGCCCCATACCTGGCCTGCAGGCAGCTCCCTCTCCCCCCCACCACAGCCCCAAACCTGGCCTGCAGGCAGCTCCCTCTCCCCCCCACCACAGCCCCATACCTGGCCTGCAGGCAGCTCCCTCTCCCCCGTCCCCACAGCCCCGTACCTGGCCTCCAGGCAGATTTGAGCCTTCTCCTCCCAGCGCTCGGAGATGGTGAACAGTTCCTGTAGCTCAGCCATGGCCTTCTCGATGGCTGGGTTAGGGGCCAGCTTGGATCCTGCCTCAATCAGCTGTCTCATCACCTGCAGGGTGACACGGCCAGAGGCTGCTAGTGTCTCCCGCACCTCATCCAGCCACTCCGCTTGCTGGGCCTCCTGCTGGAGCTTGGCGATCTCCGGTAGCTCTACGGCTAACTGCTGACCTTGTTCAATCAGCTCACGGAACTCATTCGAGTTGGGAGGCAGCTCCTTCAGTGCAGCCTGGGTCTGGGTCTGGAACTTCTCTACATCCTCCAGCAGCTCCTAGGACGGAGACACACACACACACACACGCACACGCACACACGCGCGCACACGCGCGCACACACGCGCGCACACACGCGCGCACACACGCGCGCACGCACACGCGCACGCACACGCGCACGCACACGCGCACGCACACGCGCACGCACAC